GTGGCAGATGATGGGGGAGCTTGGGGGAAAAGAGAGAGAGGAAACTGTGCTTGGGTTGTAAAATAAATAATAAAAAATAAAACATAGATTGTGTTACCTATAATGTCTTCCACTACACAATGATGTAGTACTAGATTTATCTTCCTAAAATAAAAAATAAAACAGTGAACTACACAATAAACCTCCCTTAGCAATCCAGTTCCTCATTTTCCTGAGTCCCATAAAAGAAAGCTTAAAATCATAACTTGTCCCTTGTGGATTGCCCCTCCATCACTGACCTCTGTCATTCTTTACAATGTTATTTCCTTCTGATCGTTTTGCTTTTAGTCAAGTTTCCTTGCTGCTTGGCAAATTATGTTAGTATGTGTTTAATCAGATACTTAAAATTCTGCAAAAACACTGTCCAGGCATTGACCATCAGTAACAAAATGTTTCTGGAATGTTTCAGGTGACTTATGGAAGCATTCTTCTATTAAGAGTGTCCTGAATGATGATCATTCCAGATTCTGGGGGCTGTCATGTGAGCAGGAAGAACTGTGTTATAAGATTCCTAGACCTCAGAGAAGCACAGTTATGATAAGAATATGTGAGCAGCAATACAAGGAAAGAAGAAAGCTGGTATACCGCACACAGTCTTAATCCAGCTTTAAGGCTGGTACCTGCTATTCTCAATCGATTCATGGGAGGGGGATTTTGAAGAAATTGACTCATGGTAGGGGGTTTTTTCTAACCCATAGGATTGAAGACCAGGATTCTAGAAAATCAGCATGATCAAATCTAGGCTGCAGTATCACTTTCTGTCCTCCAGTTGATAACTAATGGAAGACTCCAGAATGTCCACGGTCTACGACAAGGGTTTGGAAGTCCAGACTGGTGCTACTTCCCTTGAAAATGAAGAAGGCTAGCACATACAAAGCAAAGACATAGATGTGAGATAATTCAAGAACAAGTGTTTCTTCAAATATGGGATTTCAATATATTATTAAAGACACCTGTACTCACTTGTTAGAGACTGAGGCTTTGTCTCTGGGTATGCAGAGAAGCTGTTACCATGGTTAGGGTTAGTTGCCAGTCACTGAATAAAAGCTAAGAATGTCACATTTATAGTGAATAATGGTCATGTAATGAGAGGCAGTGTTTTTACTTAAATTAATGATGCCAGGTAGCACTTGTTGATGATTTGTGTTTGTCAATTTTGGGAAATAGTAGCACAAGGCTTTAAAACGGCCCAAGATCAGAATTACTAACATGGGGGAAAATGTGTTCCATTTAGTCTCTGGTTATGAAAGGTATACTTTCAAATGATAGTGGAACTGTGAGTGACACATTTTGAGAGTATATGGCATTACCTCTGTTCAAGCAGTACATTTCTTCAACTTCTTCTAGAATAATCATTACTAAAGCTTTCAAACTGTGATTTGAGTTCACTAGAATGGTATAGATGAACTGTCTTCTTTATTTCAGGAAAATAGACTGTTTTAAACTTAAAAGTACAGTGCATTTAGAACACAAAGTTTTTCCTACTCAGAATTTTGGTAGAGTGAGTTTACAATTTAGTAGCCTTGTGGTTTATTGTACTCCCACTGAAAATAATATTCTTTTTCATTTATTGTTAATAAGTATTCTGTCAAATTGTGCTACTTCCCCTACAAATTTAGAAAATAAAATAGTGCTACTTCCCCTACATATTTAGAAAATAATCTCAAAAATGTCTTTAGTAGTGTAGGATCTTTATAGAAGAAATGCATCCTGTGGAGAAAAATATGGATTATCCTGGTCTAGCTTGGGACATTTGTTGCATAAACCTGTGCAGAGTTACTGAGATAAACAGTTCTGTAGTTGTACCTAGATATGATGATCTTCTGCTGTTTGGCATGTGTCCAAAGCAAAATCCAATGCTACAAAGACGAATTAATTGGCTTGTCTTACAGTGGGTTAAATGTCGGTCCCAGAAAGGACATGGCATACACATGATGGCTCCTGCTCAGCTCCCAAGGACTACAGTAGGGATTTAAGTATGACACTGTGCTCAGTCTTGTTTGATACACTGGGGAAGTCCTTGCTCATTGTGCTTAATTTTTGAAATTTTTATGTATCCAATCTCAGGTGACAGAAGTGAAATCCAGAGGACCCAGCCCCATCCTCTGTGTCTGCATCTCTGGAACACAGAGTCGCTATTACTTGCTAGGGAAGCCAGAATA